TCGCTCTCAGCTCCACCTTCGGACGAGTCCGTAGAGCCGAGTGGTCCTTACCCAGAGCTAGTGGGCTGCCTCATGTACCTGATGACCTGCACTCGTCCTGACCTTGCGTACCCTCTTGGCCTTCTGGCTCGCTACGTGGCTCCTGGTCGGCACCGAAAGGTGCACATGGATGCTGCTAAGAGGGTACTGCGCTACTTGTGCAGTACTTCGGGCATGGGGCTCGTACTTGGAGGGCGGAGCCCAGTTGTTCTCACTGGGCACTCGGACGCTTCTTGGGTTGACGACCTGGCTACGCAGCGGTCGTCACAGGGTTACACCTTCAGCCTTGGCTCTGGCTCTGTTTCTTGGCGGTCTACACGCTCGTCCTCTGTTCTCGGCTCCAGTTGTGAGGCTGAGATCTACGCCACAGCTATGGCTGCTCAGGAGCTCCGCTGGCTCACCTACCTGCTGACCGACCTGGGAGAGCGGCCTCGTTCTCCTCCAGTGCTGTACGTAGACAACAAGGCCGCCATTGCCTTGTGTCAGGAGCACAGACTGAAGCACAGAACGAAGCACATCGCTCGGCGTTACTTCCTTGCTCGAGAGTTGCAGCAGCGTGGTCAGCTTCGTCTTGCTCACGTGGCCACTCGGGCCAACACTGCTGATTTATTCACCAAGGCACTTCCGTCTGGTGATCATCGGCGTTTTTGTACTTTGTTAGGCCTTGTGCCCACGTTTCCTCACTTGCTGTAGACTTTGCTTGTACCGTGATCTATATATATACCTGCATGCTTGCTCTGCTAGGTAGAGATCACTGTGCTATTGTTGTTGCATATATACCTCTGCATATGAACTGGCTTTGTGGCCCTTTGCTTGTGCTTAGTGTGTGTGGTGACGTTGTGATCCACCCTGAGCTTGCTTTGCTTCTCTTGACTAGTCTTGTGACCCCTTGTTCTCCCCCACTTTGCCTATGGGGGTGTGTCAAAGTATGTGCATGCTATATATGTGTAGGCTGTAGTGGGGTAGCCAATATGAGGTACAGCCCCGTTTAGGGTTTCATACTTGTACCCTACTCTTCCATAGTGCATTCATTCCTGCTGCTTGATTCTAACAGGCTTGATCGACGTCGCCGGTTGCTTCGTTCGATGATGAAGCAGAGATTTACCGTACGCTTACGCCATATCAATTCAGCGACTCAAAGTTACAATCAAGGCGTGATTTACGCGTGGGCCTCACGTTGACTGCACTCATGCAAACAAATTTTACAGTGTTTGCGAGTTTCACTTTGAGAACAGTACTCGATACTAGCTGATATATCCAATAAGAACATAATTAATATAGAAATACTAGACTCTGTAAACTCAAATTGTATGAAAACCAGACTACGGATTTTTTTTTGTCTAAGAGGTCAGACAAGTGCTTACAAACAGGGTTGTATTTAAGAAGTGCTGACAATTTTGGTTTGTAAATATATGGCCTGGTGACACCCCATTAAAAATAACAAACGTCCTTACTAAAAGGTACTGGAAGAGCTTATTGTTTCAGAATGTCATTGTTCTACAATCGCGACTATACATTCACCAACACCTGCACATAGCGAGCACGCCAGAGGTACACATGGTTTGAATTGTCTCTCGCCACTCAAACTTACCCATCAGTAACAACGAAGCGACAACCAATCAAACGATAATCCTCATCGTCGCGAGAACGGAAAGGAAGTTTAGGGCAAATTTCCCGAGTCGCCATAGTCGAAATCCACCTACCAGTAACGTCGTCGTAAGTCCTGCAGGAGTAACCTTTCGGAAGCCTGAAATCTTCATGCCCTTCGAGCCCTGCCTTTTTTGGGATGTCGCATTGTGGCAGTGCAAAACCGCGTGATAGTTCCAGTGAGGTTTGAACGAGGTACGACAAGGGAGGTTGGGAAGCATTGCTCGCTGTTCCTACCTCATCTCCGTATTACCTCCGACCTGTCGTGACAGTCCAACCTACTACCTCATATCGGTATTACCTGCGGTATACCATAATTTTCGGATGAGTAAGTCACCGCCGACCTGTTGTGGCAGTTCAACCAGGAGTGCCTGTTTCATGTCTTTGCGCACTTCTTACTATTAGTCGCATGGTAATAGTATCGCTATCCCGCCCAGGCTGCGAGGAGGAAGGGAGGTACAAACTAGAGAAGCATTCCGAATATTACTACCTGCACTGGCGAGCATGCGAGGAGGGACGGAGGTAGTACCTTGCGTGGCATTGATCACGACTTGCGCGTGGCATGATGGAGAGATGAAGGCAGCAAGCCAAAAAGCGGCGGAGAGTGCAAGCCACGCTCGTGGCTGCATCGCAGTTGGCTTTGGCGGCGCCGCGCGCGCGGCGCGACTGAATTGATCTGCTACTACCACTTCCTCTAGTACTAGCAGTGGTGACGCGCCTCGACAACAGGACTACTCCCGCGACATGGCGACGGGGCAAGAGTTGAACACGTAGGTGAGGCTGAGAGACGGAAATCGCCTACGCAGCACTGAGAGGCTGCCTGGAAGGAGGCCGACGAAAGCTGCTGCTGCGTTTTCTGGCCCAAGCTCTGTCAGACCGACGTCTGAACGGAAGGCGGGCCAGTGCACCCACGAGCCTCCTCACACGACTTGACCTGATCCTTCCGAACCGACCTCGAACTAACCGACCGTGCATTTATAGGGTTACAGCGAACCGCTCCGCTACATGCGTGTTCTACTAGCAAGGCCCTTGCGACAGACTAAACGTTAGTGAGCCTCGGAACCCCTGGACAAAAGGAAGAATTAGGTTATCGGGTTCCACGTCGCATGCGGGGAATTTTGGCAGAATCTTCGGCAGTACTATAGTCGTATTCCAGAGTATCGCATGTCTTCACTTGTTCTCCAGTTATATAGGGACGGGTGACGTCAGCACATGCCGCCCCGCCCGCCCTGGCACAGAGGGATTTCGGGGCAAACGGAAAAACCCTCCGAATCCCTCCGGTCCCCCCAAAATTCCCTCCAGACCAGGCTAAAAAACCCTCCGAATCCCTCCGTCTCAATGTCGTATTCTTATGCGCATATATATGTCAGCCGCACTGTTGCAATTTCGGGGACATTTATCGAGCACTGCTCGACGGGCATTGGCCAATCGCCGTCGAGCACCGTGCACCCCCGACAAGACTGGTTACATCGCCTGACGTCGCCAAGGACGTCGCCTGACAGGCCGCGCTGACGGTCGATGTGAGTGGTAACGAGTTTCGCAACCGGCCGACCGTCACAATCGACGGCGCCGTCAATCGCCGTCGAGCGAGCAGTTTGACGGTCGAGCGAGGCGTCGCTGTCGGACGGGCGACGGGTTACGTGGGTCGCCATCAAGTGGGTCACGTCACCAGATGACGGCCACGTCAAAGGACAAGGGCCTGAGGTCATCCGTGGGCGAAGGGTTAACTCCCCAACCACGGAATAGATTAAATCCAAAGCTGGTTTAATCAGTGAGGTCGTCTTTGTCTGTTGGGGGAACGGTTTAGGGTGATGAGAGCTTTCTGTTAGGCACTGATGGAGAACGATCCGTCAAGGACAACGCCTTCCCGGCAGGCAGAGGAGAGACCGCTACCTGTCGACGTTGAAACCATCTCGACGTGTGGAGCCATACCGGGCTCGACAGCAACACACTCGACGTCACGAGCCATACCGGGCTCGACAGTACCACACTCGACGTCACGAGCCGTACCGGGCTCAACAGCAACACACTCGACGTTACGAGCCATACCGGTATCTACAGCGCCACCCAGAACGTCACGTTCCATACCGGTGGTGGTTCAGCCAGTTGCGACGGACCAACGCTCGACGGGCCAGTCAGTCAACGTCGAAGTGGGGGGGGCACCGATAGAAGTCCCTTCGACGGCGCAATCCATACCTGTTGCGGTAGAGCCGGTTTCGACACTGACCCCTTCCTCAACACCGCAAGCTCCAAACCAGCCGTCCTCATCATCGGCACCACTCCGTGCGACACCTACGGAACCAGTAGCCGCTGTCCCGAGCTCGACTGGTGGGCGACGTAGGAGAAGGGGTACGGGTGTTCCCGCTGCGCCTATGCGCTCATCAAAAAGACCCAGCAAAGCGGACTTAGCCAGCCACGTCCCTCCGGCTGAGACAAATGAGCGCGACGAAGAGCCGGGGGAGCAGCCCGAGGAGGACGATGTCAAAGAGGTGGACCCTTTGCACCCTGCTGCGGCTAATATATCAGAAGAGGATGCAGCGCACATTCTCGGTGACGACCTCGACGAAGAAAATCCGTACTTGGCGACGGGAACACTGAAAAGTGCGATTCACCGTTGTCAGCTTCCGCTGTTGGGAATCGACCAGGATACCACTCGGCCAAACTACGTGTCTGGCTTCATGCATTTCAAGGCATGGGCTTGTCCGGAAAATGCAAAGGAGTGCCTGTCGAGGAGCAGGTGGTCAACGAGGATGAGGTCGGGAGAGAGATCGGCAATGATTTGGGGACGGGGTGGAGGGCGGCGCTCCTTAACGAGGAGCACCTGCATGGGCCTTGGACGTCGAAATGGCGCTAGAGGGCTTACGTCGAGTACATGTCGACGGAAACGGACCAACAAGCGGCTTCCTTGGATACCGGGCGGACCAGGGTAGCGGGCCGGAAGCCGAAAAAATGCACCCCACAGATGATGCTGGCGCGCCTAACTGCGCTAGCGTGCTTGTGCAGGGTGGAGGCCATACTCTTCGACGAACCGCTCACAAAACCCTTGGACGACATCACCGAGGCTAGGCAGCTACTAGCGGTCAAGCTGCGACAGCTGCACGACTACCAGTTCGAGTGAGTACCCTTTCCTACCCCGTCTGCTACTTCTTCTCACTCACTATCTCACTTCTGAGTTGCTGTATCTGCCCACTCAATGCAGGAGGTGCGTCGATCCGCACCGTGGCTCGCTCGACGATTGCTACACGGAGGAGCAGTTCCGCATTCTCGTTTCAGACATCTTGCCGCACTGGGCCAAGGTGTACTTCAGGTCGTCGATGTCACACCCCAGTCTGTCGCTGTGGAAGGCCTTGGCTGTGAGGACGATGATTTTGATGGCGCATCACATGCTGAGCAGTGGGATCAGCATCCGTGAGATCCGCTACTGCAACATGTTCACTCACGTCCTTCTGCCCATCACGAACAGCCCGGGCGAATCGTCCATCCTCGTTCTCGTTGTCGCCTATCGCAATACGAAGACCGTCAAAGACAACAAGCTTGGCCACCTGTACCTCACTCGACACATGGACTTCCAGCAGTGCGGCTTTGGAGCAGATTTCCTCTGGCTACATTTCAATTTCGACCTCGTCCCCCTCTACTACAACAACGACAAAATCGTGCCCCCCTTGGATTTTTCAAACCCGGAAGCCTGGTCGAAGAAGCACCTGTTCTTCGCCCTCTTCGACAAAGAGAAGGAGATGCCGTACCCGACGCACGCCAAATGGGTCACCTGGGCGATGGATAGCGCGGTGTGGATCCTGTCGAAAGTCACCCACATATTTCGACGGTCTGCGGCACAGATCCTCGCGGACAAGAACTTGGACCTCGACACCATCGCACAGCTTGGTCAATGGGACATGAACGAGATGCGCAGGTCGTACGTCACAGGCATCCCGCGCCCGGCCATCCAGATGCAAGCGGGTTTCTCGGAGGAACCGGGCGACTATTACATCGGAAGATCGAAGACCAAAGTGCCTCCGAAGGTCCAGAAGGCTATTGAGGAGCACATCTTTCCTAACGCGGAGCAGTGGCTCATCGAGGTATGGATCTCTCGAGCAATTGGCGTCATCGTCGAACGCAAGATTTGCTAGTCTATCAATCTGTCGGTGTCCCTGCGTTACTTTATTTACAGGCCCAGAAGTGGAACAACGAGCAGGACAAGGAACACATGTACTACGCAGCGAAGAGTTTCTTGGAGGCCCTGCTAGCAGCCCGAATGCCCATCGCAGAGGATCTTGCGATGTATTACGTCCATTGTGACGACCACCTCTTCGACGGTGTGAGCGTTTGCGATTGCGAGCGTCACCCTTACGCCCAGATGTCGGGGTTGTGCAAGGACGAAGATTTTCAAAAATGGGCGCTCGACGTGTACTAGCTCGACAAGTACGGCATTAACATGCGGACCAACCCAACGATGTCGAAAGCGACGGTAAGTTGGCCCTGGCACAACTGTACGCGATGAATTGTCATCACTCCACTGATTGCACGTGTCCTTGTGTGCAGGACATATCCTCTCAACTCAACACCAAGCACCTCATCGCGCAACTTCGGGCCGAGATTAACTTCCACAAAGAGGAGGGAGGGAAAAAAGAGATCAAGATCATCCACCTCGAGCATCAAGTCGGGTCATTGGAGCGGGAGAACAGCTCGATGAAGTCAGAGTTGGAGGCCAAGACAGAGGCGTTCGCGCAACTGCAGAAAGCGTTCGACGCACTGAAAAAGACCGCGGCGACAAGCGCAGCTGCAGATGTGGGGGAGAGCGAGAGCGTGACGCAGACGGCCACCGAAGAAGCCACCCCCGGTCCACAGCAAGCCCAACAAGAAACGCCCTCTCGACAGAGCGTGGGCAGTCAGCTCGACCAGGCATTCTTCGACGCGGTGGTGTGGCCGTGGTGCAATTGCGATACCATGCGGAAGGCGTGGTCGTACTGGGACGGGCCAAGCCCACTGAACCACGGGCACAGTCTTCGACAGGCGTACAAGAGGGGCTTCGCCGTCAAGTTCTGCAAGTTCACTCCGACTCCACCCCCCGTACCCCCCGAAGCGGAGGCCCATCCAAAAGACAAGCCCCCAACCGCAAAAGCTATCGAGACGAAATTGCGGAAAATGGAGGCTGTCATGAAGGCCGTCGAGCATTTCTGGATCGACGACAGCAGCGCGGCTACGGCGACGGTCATCGAAAAGCTGGACTCAATTGTGAAGAATCACTCGATCAACATGCTTTCGGAGGGCATCGTTCTCGACGAAGACCCTGGGAGGCAGCTCACGAAAAAGCGCAAAGTCGGGTCTGCAGAGGAAAACCGGAAGGACAAACAACGCCTAAGAATCACTCTGGAGCTCATTCGCGTCCAGCTCCGAACCACAGAATGGGCGGAGACGGTGTTAGGCAAGGAGAAATGGAAAGAGTTCACGGGAACAACTGACGCGCGGCCTAGCTCGACGGGCAACCTTGAGGAGGGGGAAACCTAGTGTAGACTTGTATGCTCCCATGATGTGCTACGTGAGACCATGTCGACCATTCCACCTTGTTTAGCTCATATAAAAAACACTGTCGAACATGTAATACAATAGGGTCGAAAATAATGGGAAGAAAACATCTGTCGAATAGACAATGTACTGAACAACGAAGACATCTGTCGAATCATGCAGCAACCCAGTTTAACACAACTATATTTCACTGTCGATCAGGTTTTGGGTCGATGAAAAACAAATCACGTCGATCAGGTTTATTTCACTGTCGATCAGTTGCCGAGCAGGTTTAGGGTCAAAAACAAAGAAAACCTTGCATTTCTCGAATCGACCATATTTCAAACTAAGAACACATCTGTCGAATCTTGCAACAACCCCCAAGCAAAGCGCCCGCCTACACTACTCCCCTGTCCCCTCCTCGGTAGCATCCTCCTCGCCCTGCTTCGCCTTGCTCTTTTCTTCAGGCATAGCCAGGCTCCCATAGCCCGCGTCCTCCAGCAAACGGGCAGCAAAGCGACAGCAGCACCATTGCGTACAGACCTGTGCTGCCACGCGCACCATCTGCAACAGGACGGCGTCAGTCGAGCCGAGGCCTTGGACAGCCGTCGAATATAGCAGATCGGGCCACTGCTTGGCCGGGACCGTCGTGCCCACGTGCAAAATAACAGACACGAGCGCGGCCATGGCAGCGACCTTAGCCCGTTTCGCCGTCTCCGGGGCGAAGAGCGCTGCGTTAGCGGCAGCTAGGGCATCCTTCTGAATATCATCCTTGGACAGTTCCCTGCAGGCCACCCACAAGCTTGCCACAGTTGCTGCGACGGACATCATGTGCGCCGTCGCACTCATGTTTTTCGGGACCGGATAAATCTGGTTCCCGTGCTTCGTGCCAAGCGTCGCCACCTTCCCTATTGCCGCGCACAGCGCGATTCCCCAGTCGGTTCCGGCTCTCACTTCCTGATTTGCCGTCGCCAGCAGCGACTGGAAACTGCACATCGAAACAAATGCATTAGTCTGACGGCCGGAATTCGACGGTAAGTACGACATCACTTCGACGGAAAGAACAAAACCGCTTACGACAGACGGACAGCAGGACCTCGACACAACTCACTCTTCGAAGCGACATTCCCCTTGTTCTTGCGCCACGCTCCAAACGCCGGTGGCCATACCAGCGGCTGCATCGAGATAGACCTTCCACTGCTTCTCATCCTCCGCCGTGAACTTATCGTACTTCTGAAGGTCAATGTCGGGGAAGTACACGCGCCAGCAGATGGCCGTACAGAACTTTTGGTCCTCCTCCATTTCAAAAGTGCCCAGGAACCGCTTCCTCCCTCCGACGGTCTGCTCGGAAACGAACTTCCCCTTCCGCACCATCATGCCTGGTCCTTTGAAGGGAGCTTTGGCGCAGTACGTCTTGCCCTGGTCGTCCGGCGGAGGAGGTGGGGCGTAGTCGAGCACCCTCGGCTTCTTCGCCTTCTCGTGTCGAGCAGCAACGACGGTAGACGCCGTCTCGACAGGACCTTGGCCAAGGAGGCTGCCCATCTCCACCAAGTCACCGCTCTCTGGAGCTCGCTTCGACGGCTTCGTCACAGCCTGCCTTTTCTTCGACGCAGGAGCAGGACCAAGAGGAGGGAAACGCGGTTCGCTAAGGCGGACGGTGCCTAGGACGGGAGCAGCGACATGAGCCGCGGGAAGGGCAGAGGAAAATGCCCTCTTTCCCACTGGCTCGACAGGACGACCAGGAACACCGACCTGAGCAGCAGAGTCGGCCGTTGTCTTCGACAGCAACCCACCAGCGACGACGACCTGGCTGGGAGCACCCCATGCCTCCCCCGCTCCTTTCCCGGCTGAGGCGACGGACTCGATAGGGCCGCCACTTTTCTCCCCTGCAACCAATCCTTTCTCACCCTTTTTCCCGAGGCCCGAAAGCATGTCCCGCAGCGGAGCAAAAGCATCAGGCGGAGGCTTCGCTGCCGCTTCGGAGGTCTTCTGAAGGGGCGACTGGTCGAGTACGATGACCTCGTTGCCCTCGACGGACTTGCCGACGGGATGACGGGCACGCGACGGTGGGGATGGTACTGGGCTGCCGACATGTCCTCCCACCGAAGAAGAAGGAGGAATCGAGCGCTCATGAACTCGACGCTCACCCCCGCTGCGAACACCAGCCACCCCCTCCTCTTGACGCGACCTCGTCGACGGGCCCGCCGAGCCCCGAAACCCTCTCGCCATCGCTTCGGTGAGGACTTCCAATCTGCCAGCTTCAGCTTCTTTGTAGCCTTCTTTCACAACGTCCTTCATCACCTTCATGCTCTCGGGCGGGATAGCGGAGTAGAACAAGTCCTCCTGGACGGCTTTCTCAATACCCTGCACGACCGTCCGCTCCTCGACAAGCTTCAGCTGCTTCTCGACGGCGTCCTCGCTCGCTTTTGCGATAGCGGCTGCCACCCCCTCGATGATTTTCCCGCTCATCTCGTCGAGCTTCGTTCCGCCCCTTCCAACAGTTTCCTCTCCTCCGTGACACCGTTGACGGCGTCGTCGCACTGCTTCAGCGTGCTCTTCGACGCCTCCGAAATCGTATTCCAGGCCGACCGAAAATCCTCAGCCAGCTTGTTGAAAACTGCTGCTTGCTCACTGTGCTTCGCAAATACGTCGGCGACGAGCTTCTTCTGCGAAGCCTCGAGCTCCGCGACCCTCTGCAGCAGCTCGACGACCTGCCCTCCGGATGCAGCCGCCGACGTCGATTGGCCTCCCGTCGAAGGGAGCCCGGTCGAAGGGCCCGCCTGTCCGCTGCCACTGGCCGTGCGGTGCCTCCTTCTTACCGCGACCTGTCCTGGACGACACTCCTGCGCAACCGCCACGCCCTCCTGCTGCTGCCCTCCGACCCCACCCGCCTGCGCAGCCGCCCCGCCCTCCTGCTGCTGCACTCCTGCCCCACCCTCCTGCGCAGCCGCCCCGCCCTCCTGCACCTGCATTCCTACCCCACCCTCCTGCGGAGCCGCTCCGCCCTCCTGGTCCTCGACAGCCCCATCGCCCCCCGTCGCCTGCTGCTCGATATTTACTCGCTCGTCCACCCGCTCCCCGAGCGCCGCTCCGTGCTCCTCCGTATGCTCCTTCCCACCTGGATGTTCTCCTGCGCCCTCGCTGTCGTGCTCGTCCGACTCATCGCTCGAGCTCGAGCCGGAACTCGATTCCGAGCTCGAGCCCTCGCGCTCGTTCGCATGTCCGCCCGGGCCGCTCACCCCGTGCTGAGCTTGCCTCGATGTATCCTCCTCGATCTCCTCCTCCTCCTCGTAGGTGTACTCAACCACGACGCGTGGCCCCCCCTCGCCTCCTCCCTCGTGTTTGGCACCCCCTCCCACTCCTACTCCCTCCGCCACCACTTTCATCCTGTCCCAAAACGGTTTGGCCATGAACGACGGAAGCATACCCGGGCCAGGGCTCGTTCTCCCGAACATCATGAGCTCGCCTTGTCGAGGCTGCAGGATGAATTCGTCCCACTTCGACAGAATCCGGCGCACCCCATGCACGACACGTGCGGCCGCGCCGGGTTCACTGGGGCCCGTCAGGGGCGTTGTCGTCTGCGACGGGTATAAAAATCACGTAAGCGTCAGCTAAACATGCTCGACGAAAACATGCACGAGTAAGGGTAAGTGTTGGCTTGCCAGATGATCGAAACTCCTTATCATTTCCAGGCGAATGTTGATGAGGCTAAGCGCCTCCTGCTCGTGCTCGGTCACGACCCGCTGGGTCGTCGCGTACTCGGCGCGAAGCTGCCGCTTCATCCAACTGCAAAGCAACGGACAGCTGAGTAAGAGATTGTCGAGGACGGCAGGTCGACAGCAGGGTGTAAAATCGGTCACTCACACGAAAACTTCCTGCGCGAGCGAAGATTGGTGGTTCACCGCGGGAAACCTGTCCTTCGAATCGAAGTGCATCATCCGAGTTCGACAGCCACGGTGCCTCGGAGCCAGCAGATCGTCGGGGCGCGATACCACAAACAGGCTCGAGTGGGAGAACGGCGCCACACTCAGGCTGCATGCAGAACGAATGCACGTGAGCACTGGTTTAGGACTAAACACGGAGCACGCAAGGCGACGGGATAGTGTCGAACTCACGTGGTTCGCAGCAGAACGAGAACCACTTGCTTGCCGAGCAGGCCGTTGAGGTGGTTGCTCGCAAAAGCCACTTGTGCGGGACGCGCCATCTCTTCATGCGCACGCGTCGAAGTCACGATCGACAGCTTGGCGAGCTGCTCGACGGACAGCAGCTCCCTTGAAAAGAGGCTGAGAAGAAAAGTCAGAGTCAGAGACAGGTAAACATGGCAAACCGAAAATGCTCGACAGGACACGTACACAACGCCTGCGTTCATCATCATCTCGTCGAGCTCCGCCTTCGGCGCCTCGCTAAGCGCAATCAACTGGTCTTCGAACACCTCCACCTCGACCCCGCCTGCGGTTAGGATGAGGCCGCGTCGAACCGTCGGCTCGGTCGCGACGGGCAGGGAGGCGGGGCCCGTATCCATGGGAGGCCTAGCAGTAGGGAGGGCGGGAGAGCAGGCAAGTTGGGAACTAGGGAGTAGGGAAGAAAAACTCGGAGACTGCAACAAAATGAGAACGCCGTCTGGGTATTAGCTGTTTGCCATCCCCCTCCACCGAGACAGACTCGGGTGCAAGGGCGACGAGGCAGGGCGCGTTCCGCGACGGTGGGAGAAGGAGCTTTTCGCAGAGGGCGGCGGGGCCGTGTTGGCCTCGACCTGGATTGTGGTGGTTGGTTGCATGAGGGTGTGGCGCCTTGCATGCACAGCTGAAATGCACCTTTCAAGGAACGGGAGGGGGCTTTCGACACGTCAGCGGGGTCGAGCGCCCAACGAAACGGGCCCGTCGAGGGCCAGAGCGGTGGAGCGCGGCGCAGATGGGTGTCGCCTCCGTCCGCTCGCGAAAATTCGCGGACGGGTTCCGTCGTCGAGGCGACGCCCGGCGACGGTTCCGTGGGTTACCGGACGGAACTCGTCTACGAACCGAGGGTGGGGTTGGGTTCGGTCGGGGGGGACCACTGCCAGCTCGAGGGCGCGGGTCGCTGGCGTCATCGGCAGCTGGCGCCAGCTGGGGGTGCCCGTTTTCGGGCGGGGGGGGGGGGGGGGGGGGGGTCGGCTCCCGCCCCTCGCGTGCCCCGCTAGGCGACTGCGGGAAAAAAGAAATCCCTCGAGGGAAATCCCGGAGGGGCAAAACGGGGTTTCGGGAGGGATGTGACCGATATCTTCCCAGCAAACGAGCGACGAAAGGCAGCTTTGCCCGAGTCACTCACTTTTCGCACTTACTGCCGCTCATAAAAAGCGATGGGCCCAACTCAGCCCGAAAGCGGTAAGAACTGAACCGGTTAGGTTCAGTGTGATCCATACATAATCTTTGCTTTCCACTAGATAATCAATACCCTCACAAACATAGAGCGGAGCCAAAACTTTCAAAAACGATACAAAGGCCAACCACCCTTCACCTAAAATCCATAAACAATGAAAATTCAATTAGAAAAGATCGGGTAGCATAATCTCTACAAATTTCTATGCACGATTTGTAAACCAACTCAGGACACTTATTATGTAGGTACGGTACCATTCAAAGTCCATAGCTCAATAAACCAGCAAGCTTATTGACATTCATGTATTACATGCTAGAGCACAAGTGAGTCCTTGGCAAACCACACGGGGGTTTCAAATTAAATTTGATACTTCTCGATGTTTTGAACCTCTCCGTCCTTCCACTCTCCCTCCGTCAATCTCGCATCCCCCTCATTCACTCTGCACGAGTTGCTTGTGTCCAGCAACTGGAGAAACCGAGGTAGGGTAGCCTCTGCCCTCTTGCTTGAGGTTTCAGATCTGATACTTTCCGATGTTTGGAACTTCTCCGTCCCTCCACTCCCCCTCTGTGAACCTGCTGTCCCCCTCGGGCACTCTGCACGAGTTGCTTGTGTCCAGCAACTGAGGAAGCATGGCCTCTGCCCGCTTGCTTGGCGCTAGTCTCAATGAGGCTACTAACGCAGTGTTTACTGTAGATGGGCAGCCTAATCCACTTTTGTTAGTATCACCTCCAGTTGCAGCTGTCCCCCTGTTGCTGGTTTTGGTTTCACCATGTGATGTGACTATGAAAGGGGTAATCACAGGAGCCTGCCTCCTGTGAGGGTTGCACGGTGCAGGGGATAGCAACCGCTGCAGCCAGCCAAAAACACCAACACTGCTGCCACTGGTGCTGCCGCTGCTGCTGCTGCTGCTGGTGCCACTGGTGCTGTCAGTGGTGCCATCACCGGGTGGTGAGTGGAACGTGGAAGGCGGAGCAGAGGAGGCAGGGAGAGAGCACCAGGCGCCTGGCGTGATGCTGTCAGGCTGCCGCTGCAGTAGCTCCCTGCGAGCACCGGAGGATCGGCGAGGGAGAAGGGGCGAGGGAAGAGGGAAGATGGGGTATGTTGAGGAGGGGTGGGGATCGCCAAACTTGTAGCTTCCTGTGATAAACTATCAGGAAGAGAGCCTGGAGGTTTACTTACATTGTTAACAAAGCTCTCTGCATTCACAGAATCCCTTGCTTCACAGCAATTGACTTGGTTGGTTCAGTTCACTTGACTTGAGTCACCTCGAAACACCGTGTTGCGAAATCGACCCGGCCAGTTGATTGGTTTGACTTGATTGACTCAGTTGACTCGACCGTACCTGTCGATCCTATCCAGAGTCGGTGAGTCGCGAGGAAACTTCCTGGCAAAGAGGAAGACGCCACTGGTGAAGGCCTCGTAGAACGAGTCGTTCATCTCCAGGGAATGCTGCAGTGAGGGGAGGGAAAAAGAGGAGGGGACGGGTGGGGAGGGGTGGGCAGGGGTGGAGAAAGAGCAGCTTAAGGGGGGTGCACTGGTAAAGGCATCGTAGAAGGAGTCGTTCATCTCAAAAGAATGCTGCAGTGAGGGGATGGGGGAGGGGGAGGGAGTGGGGAGGAGTTGGGAGGGGTGGGGAGGAGAAAAGCGGTTGAAACGGGGCGCACTGGTGGAGGCATCGTAGTAGGGGAGCTGTGTTGGGGCGAGGGAAGAAGGGGAGGAGAGGGGAGGGGTGGAAAGGGTTGGGGAGGGGAGAGAAAGAGCGGTTACGGCAGGGTGCACTGGTGAAGGCATCATAGAAGGAGTCATAGGAGTGCTACAGTGAGAGGGAGGGGAGAGGAGAGGGGATAGGAGAGGGGAAGGGAAGGGTGAAGGGTGGAGGATGGGAGGGACAAGAGGGGGAAAAGGGAACTTTTGCGTCGACTCAAGACGCATTCAAGCGAGTACGAGCAGGAGGGAGAGGGGAAACAGAGGCAGGAAGTGGGGGTGGAGAAGGGGGGAAGGAGAAGATACAGGGAGACGGCGACCTGTGGGGGTAAGATGGGGCCTGTCTGCAATGTCAGGAGGAAGAGGGGACGACAAGTGATCGCAATCGTGCAACACACGGTTCCCCAGCAAAAGTACGCTATTCCTCTTCACGTTCCTAAAAGAACAAGCTGTGTGGGAAAGACACACGTTCCCCCCTCATCACGTAACAAGGTGATTTTGTGCAGCACACGTTTCCCGAGCATGAGTACGCTGTGCCTTCTTCATCACTGGGACACACGAGAGAACTTGTGAGTCGACTCAGAAGTGATTCTGTGCAGCACACATTTCCGCAGCATGAGTACGATGTGCCTTCCTCATAACTGGGACACACAAGAGAGCATATCGGGGTGGCCTTTGGCATGCCATCATTCTACAGACAGGGCTGGGCCTGTTTCTCCATCACCCTGTACCCACTCACAGTCCAGTATGTGAGGAGCACCCTTGTACCACCTGGCCGCGTCGCATGCCCTTCCCACGTGCATCCTCACCCTGCTATACCAACACTACCACTACCACTAACCCCACCAGGCTCCCCTTTGCCATGCCAACACTGGAACGCACCGGGCTGCCCTTGGCGAAGGAGGGAATGGTTGAAACGGGGCGAGTGGCCGTGCCTCCATGCCCACACGGAATCATACCGAACTGCTCGCTGGCATGCCGTCACACACAGGGAACCCACCGGGCTGCCCTTGGCGAAGGTGGCCAAGTGCAGGCTGGCGTTGAGGAGGCGGGTTACCAGGGAACCAAGCAGTCATCGGTAACGCATTGACCTTTGACATCACAGGAGGCCAAGCAGTTACAGGGGGAATGTGGAACAAACATACTTGGCTGCCCTTGGCAAACGTGGAGACGTGCAAACGATGGTTGAAGCGGGGCGAGTGGCAGGCGACGGTGCTGAAGTAGTGCTCGTGCGAGTCGATGACGTCAGGTGTTGACGTCAGGTGATGACGTCACGTGTTGACGTCAGGTGTTGACGTCAGGTGATGACGTCACGTGTTGACGTCAGGTGATGACGTCAGGTGATGACGTCAGGAGCTCAAGCAGT